CACTTGTGGTATTTCTGTTACAGCAGCACTAGATAACTAAGACAGCATAGAATGAATGAACGGAAGTCGGTTCACACTAGAGTTACCTGGCCCAGAAAAGGTCTCAGTTCCCTTCCTCACCTGTGAAATAAGAGACTGCTCAGTGGACCTGGAAAGTCCCAGCCAGCCAGGACACTTGATAGGGTCAGGTTTGGAATATGACGATCACTTTATTCCTAGGAAGACTTCCTGGAGCCGGAGGACAGACAAGAGCAAGATGGAAGCAGAGAGAGAATTACTCCCCTGTTGGCCCTCCCAGTAACTCAGCTAGTAGTAGCAGGGTTATTGCTCTTTTAATTTAATCCTTTGTCTGGTCTGCTGAAGACAAAGTATGTTTCACTTTATGCAAAAGTCCTTCCCTAATGTAAGGGCCAAGAGAAAGCCCCTTAATGGAGGAACTGCTGCACTAGATCACTTTGCCTCCAGCTTCGACGCTGATTAACGTCCTGAGAGTCTCCAAGGAGGCTCAGCTGCAGTCACCGGGGCCATTTCCAAGCAGAGGAGGAAGAAGGGAGTGTGGGGGTTGGACGGAAGGAGGGGCGGTCTCATATAGCCTCCTTCAGGAGGTAGAGTGGGGGAGTGGGAGGGAGCCCAAAGAAGAGAGGCCAATAAATATAATTATTCACAGGCAGACCCTCCTTCATTTCTTTATACTCTGAGCCCGCAATTGACGAATGTCTCTGAGCCTTGCTCCTATCACAACACAGAAGGTGCACGGGGACAGGGACCTAACGTTAGCTATAAGCCTGTGCTGTCTGATACAGGAGCCGCTAGCCATGAGGACACGTGACAATTGAGCATTCAAAATGTGGCTGGTCTGCATGGAGATGTGCTGTAAGTGCAAAATACACATCAATTTAGAAGACTTAGTATGAAAAAAATAAAGTAATCATTTTTATGTTCATGATATGTTAAAATCATAATATTTTGGATATGTTGAGTTAAATAAAGTATATTATTAACATTAATTTCAACTGTTTCTTTTTTATTAACGCAGTTAAGTGCTCAGCTGCTAACTGAAATGTCAGCGGCAAACCCACCAGCCGCTCCCTAGAAGAAAGATGTGGCAATCTGCATCAGTAAAGATCACAGACTTGAAAACCCTATGGAGGAGTCCTACTCTCCCCTGTAGGGTCACCATGAGTCGGAATTGACTCTGTGACAGCGGGTTTGGTTTTTTATTAGAACATTTAATGTTACATACGTGGCACTCATTTGCAGCTTGCATTGTAGCTCTACTGGACGGTGCTGATCTCAACAATGTACAACTACATGCTTTAAAACTTTTTATTTTTAAAGAAGGAAGCAAATATCAGTGGTTTCTGGATTAGCCCCTATTTTACATGATCTGTGACATAGTTTCACTTCATTAAGCTGGATGAGGTTGCAGGATTTGTCATTTTAAAGGAGCTGGGCTTTCAGGACATTCCCTAGAGCTGTCGTGTAATTCATCCTTCAACTCTAGCTGCTGTCCTGGGCAAGGTGGCTTGTGGAGCCCGCCAGGTAAGACACCAGGCAGGAATCTGCATTTTTTAAAGCATCCTAAGTGTGTTCTTATGCAGGGACCTGGACAACGTCCGAGAAACACTCCTAAACCAGTGTTCCCAGCTTTTCTGAAGAGAAGAATCACCTAAGGTATTTGGCAAATATGCAGATTCGCAGGCCCATCCCAGGGCCACAGAAGCCAAAACTTTAAGAGAGGGATTTGTGAGGTTTAGGAGTCAGCATCTTAAAGCCATTGTTCTCAAACCTAGATGCACATCAGATCAGCTAGGGACTTTAAAATACTGACGTCTGGGCCGTACCCCCGGCCAAGTACCTCAGACTTTCAGGGGATGGGGCCTCAGCATCTGTATTTTTTAAAACTCCTCAATGATTTCAATTTACAACCAAGGTTGATAAGCACTGGTTCGGTCAATAGCAAATTAACCCATCCTCCTTCTACAGTTACAGAGCATGTCATTTACTGCCCCCGAAGCACCCAGAATCTAATTTCTAAGTACAAAGGCCATGATATACTACTTCCTAGATGATATTACTTTTTTTCTAGTCTCAGAAAGGTTCCTTCTAGATTACGTTCACTGCTCCTGCAGGCTGGCTGTTGACTTTCTGTGCAGTTGTTAGTTCTAGCACAGGTATTAAACACTTCATTAACACTTTCTGCTGCAACTTTGAGCACCCCCCCAAAAAAGAAAGAACCCCAACTCCTAAACCCACCGCAGATGCCACAGTTTCAGCCATCAGGTTCTAAGCCCAGCAGCTGCTCTCAGCCCCCTTTGGATGGCACCATGTTTTCTCTTAAAAGAGCAATGCCTGCTGCCGCTGCTCCCCACCTGGACTGCTCCCCGTCATCTGAAAGGGTAACATCTACTATAGGAGGTGTTTTTAAAGGGGTTATGATCTTAAAAGGAGCCCTGGTGGCACAGTGGTTAAGAGCTCGGCTGCTAACCAAAAGGTCAGCAGTTTGAATCCACCACCCCTCCTTGGAAGCTCTGTGGGACAGTTCTACTCTGTCCTATAGGTTTGCTATGAGTTGGAATGGACTCGACGGCAATGGGTTAGTTAGTTAGTTAGTATGACCTTCATCCCTCTGCATACTTTGAAAACATATACTAGAGATGGAGATTGAAAAATAACTATTTTCCTTCAGCTCTGAGATTTCATCCACTTTGCCCCCACTGTGACTTATACAAACTTTACAGCAATTATTATACTGAATCATAATTATTTGTCATGTGCATGAGTATCACCCGTCCAGATGGTAAACTTCCTGAGGCAAATGTGCCTTCTTCATCTTTGTATCCAAACAGAGTGCCTGGCACATAGCAAATGCCCAGTAAATGTTGAAATGAACTAAATATGTAAGTGAGGTGCTACACTTTGGTTGCAGACCTAATCCTCATCCAGAACCTCCTTTCCTCTGGTCACATCAAGCAACAGTAGCCATAGGACACAGTTCTGGTCAATGAGAAGTAAGCAAAAGTCCTCTGGTAGAGCTTCCAGGAAAGTTTTTGTTTTTCTGCCCAGAAAAGGAACAGACTACCCTGGTATGCTCCCTTTATCCTTTACCCCTTCCTGCTTTCTTCCTCTTTCTTCTTCCTGCCTGGAACTCACAGGGAAAGCCTGGAGGTACACAAGTCATCTTGCAACCATGATGTGAATAAAAAGTGAACAAAATTAACATGTTCTGGATGGAAGCGTAGTTAAGATAGGAAGAGCCCAGGTTCCTGATAGCATCACTGAGCAGCATCAGCTCTGGACTGCCTGCCTCTGGACTGCTTGTTATTGGAGAAAAAATCAAATCTCATTTCTCCCACTGTGGCTGAGGAATGACAAAGACATTCCTAACTGATATGATTAGTATGTTATTAAAAAGTATGCATTTAAAGCATCTAGCATTGTTCCTATGAGGGGCAGTGGCAGTTCAAAGGTAGAATTCTTGCCTTCCCTGTGAGAGACCCAGGTTTGATTCATGGCCAATGCAACTTATGTGCAGTCACCACTCATCTGTCATGGGAGGCTTATATTTTGTTATGATGATGAACAGGTTTCGGAAGAGCTTCCAGACTAAGACAGACTAGGAAGAAAGGCCTGGTGAACTAGCTCGGAAAATCAACCAATGAAAACCCTATGGATCACAACGGTCCAATCCCGAAATGACCATGGGGATGGCGCAGGACTGGGAAGTATTTCATTGCATTGTGCATGAGGTCACCATGAGTTGGGGCAGACTCAATAGCAGCTAACAACAACAACAAGCATTGTTCCTAGTACACAATAGGGACTCAATAAATGTTTCCATATTCATTCACTTCTTCATGCAAATATTGACACGAATGAATCTTGAATGAATGAGTGAATAAAGGATTGAAGGAATGACTTTCTGGGCAGAAGGATCATCTTCTAATAAAAAGACTATTCTCTAAGATGTGTCCAGTTGTCTTAAAACAGCTTTGTTTCAGACCCTGTAGACTATACTATGTTAATCCTAGAGTTCATTCCAATGCTCACTGCTGTTAGAAAAAGTAGTGCTATTGAAGCTGCAAATCGTGAAGCAAACAGTAGAAACAGTTTCCTGGTGTTACCAATTCACTGAGCGTCCTATTTCAAACATTCTCTGTAAGAGGGCGGCGTTTGCAGGAGTGTTGCCTGCTCGAGTTTTGTTGTGAGGCATTAGCTTCCTTTCTTTCTCTGCCCAGCTGCAGTGAGTGCACTCCAGTGGGCCGAGCTAGGAGCTGAGACATGCATGCCCAGGGACAAGCTAAGAGGCTAGGGGGTCAATGGAGACAGAAGCCCCTCGTTAGCTCCATTAATGAAACTGGTTAGAAAGGGAGAGAAGCAAAATCATCTCTCTCAGACTGAACCAGGAAGCAACTCTACAGGACCCAGTTTCCTTCTCTATGGCCTGAAATTCCTGGGACTTTTTTTTTTTTTTTTTAACTTGGTTCTAAGCAGCTTGTCTTTCACTCTTGAAGAGGATGTGGTCCTTGCCGTCCACACCTTCAGTAAATTTTCACTGAACCTGAACTGTTGTTCCAACTCAAGTACATTTATGCTTGCTTTTAAAATAAATATAAGTGGATTTTTATTAGCTTCGATCAACAAAATATTGAGCAGTTTTGATATGCCAGGCACTGTGCTAAGTGGTTTTACATGCATTATCTATTTAATACTCACAATCCCTCTACTGGGGTCGGTGCTATTATTATTCCCATTTTACAGATTAAGAAACTGAAGATTAGAGAGATTAAGAACTTGTCTGAGACCACACAGCTACGAATCCAGTCTAAGGTGTCTGGCTCCAAAGTCCCTTTACCTGTTCCAGCCATTTCCTCTACTCTATGCTTTGGAAGTGGACAGCATATTTCCCCCATTTCCACTTGCTCAGGCCCACACTGCTGTGACACCCACGTCAAAGCCAACCTAGGCAAGTATCTCTTCAGTTTAACAAGGAGACTTACACTGAGGGGTATGTTTCGGCTTGTGTCTTCTGGATCAAAGGCCTCAACCTGGTAAATGAATCCTGGGTTTGCTCCTTCTGCTATGTAGAGCTCTAAACCTATAGCAGTGTCCAAAGTGGAATAGGAAACATTTTATTAGATGAAGCAAATGGGGAAATCCAACACTGAGGCAGCTGTACACATCCAAAGGCAGTCAAGGATATTGGCATTGTGGGAAAGAGGGAAGCAACAATACAGGTCATGAGAAAGACCACTGGCCAACTTATGGGATTAATAAAGTACTAGGGTTGGCCAAGGTGGTATCAAGTCTTCATTTATTTCCTCTGTTGAGAGATGATCTGGGTACTGTGTCTGAGGGGTTGAGGGGGAGAGGGAGGTGATAAGGGAAGAGAGTTGGGAAGCAACCACAGAGAAGAGCCTCCGGTGTGAGGCTGGGCCATGTTCCAGGTTCACTGTAGTGTGCAAATTCCTCCTAAGGTGACCTTAAAGTGTACTTAGATCTCAGCAGAAATTAGTTGGTCGAAATGAGAGGGCTTATAGTGGAACAGAAGTACCCAGGTGACACAAACAGTTAATGTGCTTGGCTGCTAACTGAAAAGCTGGAAGTTCAAGTTCACCCAGAGGTGCCTTGGAAGAAAGTCCTGGTGACCTACTTCTAAAAAATCAGACATTGAAAATGCTATGGAGCACAGTTCTACTCTGGCATACACGGGGTTGCCATGAGCCGGAATTGAAGGCAATTGTTTGTTTGTTTTTCATGCTTTCATTCAAAGAAATATTTACTGAATTCTCACTATCTGCCAAATACTGATCTACACACTGGGATGCAGTAGTTCCCAAAACAGACAAAACCCTGCTCTCATGGAACTTGCATTCTAGTGGGCGGATACAGACAATAAAATAAATGAGTAAAATGTCTGTGTATTAGTGAGAACTGTTATGGAGAAAAATCAAGGGGTGTTGTGGGATGGGGGATGGGTTACAATTTCAAATTGAGTAGTTAGGGAAGGTTGTCTGAGGAGGGAACACTTGAGTTGAGATCCTTAAGGAAATGAGGAAGAGCCATGGGTATATCTGGGGAAGAGTCAGAGGAAACAGCAAGTGTAAAAATACTGAGGCAGGGTCCCGTTAACCCATTGCCGTTGAGTTGATTCCGACTCATAGCAACCCTATGGGACAGAGTAGAACTGCCCATAGGGTTTCCAAGGCGGTAATCATCATGAAAGTAGACTGCCACATCTTTCTTCCACGGAGTAGCTGGTGACTTCAAACCGCCAACCTTTCAGTTAGCAGCCAAGCACCTAACTACTGTGCCACAAGGGCTCCTTGAGGTAGGGTCATGCCTAGGGTAATCACAGATCAGCAAGGAGGCCACTACACTGGAGCAGAGCAGGGAGGGGAGAGGGTGGGACAGGAGTTTAAAGGAGTAATGGTGGCTGGAAGGTTCTTGCCAGTTTCGATGAGGCCTCTTGGGGACTCTGGCTTTCCCTGTGGGTGAGCTGGGAAGTTCACATAGGGTTTTAAGCAGAGGAATACCCCAACTTCACTGACATTTGAACAGAATCCCTCTGGCTGCTGCATGGAGAATAGACTGAAGAGGGGCCAGTCAGCTGGCTGTGTGGAAATTAAATCCCACTTCTCTGACACCAAATACATGTTGAACAATCCAAATCAATTCATTATCAGTTCTTTTCCACTTCTGACACCAGCTGCACACGCAGCCCTTCTGCCTCTGACCCTAACCACCCAGAGCTAGGCCACATCTCACAAGTTAAAGGGCACAGTACTCCAGACTGCCAAGTCTGCACAAGACCTCAGATGCCAGCCACAAACTTGAAAGTCCCCAAGACCCCACCACCCCTGACCTGTTGGCTTCTGAGTAGTGGTCAGAAGTGATGGTGTCTTGGGATCGATAATTGACTAGAACGACTCACAGAACTCACAGAAAGTGCTATACTTATGATTATGATTTTGTTATTGCAAAAAGGATGGAAGTAAAGAGACTCATAGGGCAAGGTGTAGGAGGGTTCTCAAGGCGAAGCTTCTACGTCCCAAAAAGGGATGCACTGTCCTTCCATGTACATCAGTGTCTGTCACCAACCGGGAGGCCCATGGACCTTCCAAGTCCAGAGCTTTCTTTGGACCTCATGGGGCATGACTGATTGAATTATGCTCCCCTCCCCTGAGGTGCTGCTTCTTTCTGGTCTGGTCTGGTCAGCCCCCATCCAAGAGGTACTTCATTAGGTCTCATCAAAGACACTTCAATAGCTGGGGTAATTCCAAAGTTTTACAGGATCTCTCTCAGCAACCAAGGACAAAGACCAAATTCTTTGAGTAAAGTTAATCCCACACCAGTCATTGTACTAATCCAGGTGAGAAATGATTAGTGGCTTGGACCATGGTGATAGTGGTAGAGATGCTGACGAGAGGTCGGAATCTGGATATGTTGAGAAGCTGTCAATATTTCCTAATGGATTTGATGTTGAGTGTGAAAGACAGAGAGGAGTCAAGGATGACTCCAAGGTTTTGGTCCAAGCAACCGAAAGGATGGAGTTGCCACTGACTAGCATAGGAACGGAATCCCTGGGTGGTGCAAAGGATTAACATGCTCAGCTGCTAACCCAAAGTTTGGCAGTTTGAGTCTACCCAGAGGTGCCTCGGAAGAAGGCCTGATGACTACTTCCAAAAATCAGCCATTGACAACTCTATGGAGCTCAGTTCTAGTCTGACAAATACGAGTCAATTTGACAGCAACTGGTTTGGCTTTTTTTTTTTTGTTTTAACATGAGAAAGACACAGGAGAAGCAGATTTGAGTGGAGGTGCAGAGTCAAGAGTTTTGTCTGGAGGCACGCTACACTTGCAATGTCTATTAGACATCCAGGAGGAAATGTTGGGTGAGGCAGTTAGATATTTGAATCAAAAGTTCAGGAGAAAGTCTGAACTGGAAAGACAGACTTAAGGGTTGTCAGCATATGGATTGTCTTCAAAGTCATGAGCTTGGGAGAAATTGTGTAGGAAGTTACACTATATTCCAGTACCTTATATTGTCCCTACTCTGTAGCAGACCTTGGATACACAAGTATCCTGAACAAGTCAGTCAATGACTGCAGTATATAGTGATAAGCCTGTGATAGGCTCAGCACAGGTTCCTCCGGAATGATCCACTTGAGGCCTCTGAGCCTCAGTTTCTTCTACAGGGCTGGGAAAGCACCAAGAGAAACCATGAATGTTAAGACTTTGTGAATTACTGGGCATGCTGGGCTGGATACATTTCATTTGTTCCCTGCTCATTAAGCAGCTGCCTTTTCCAGAGAAAACATCTGCTTGTTTATTTACTTTCTCTTTTTCTCTGTCCCCCAGGGTCTTCCCTGAAGCCACCGTGTGGGCTGCCTTGCACACCCCAGCATATCTTACCTTTCGCCAAGTTGCCTAGAAAGTAAGGCGGCTCATTCACATCTGTTACCTGGACAGTGAGGACCTGCAGGTCTGTAACACCAACCTCATCCTTCACATAAATCTGCAAATCAAATATGTTTGGTCCTGTTTCAAAATCTAGTTGTTCCTTCCCAGTGGTGACAACCTAAAACCAAATGCAAAATTATTAGTAACCATGTGAAAGAAGGTCTGTTTTGCACACATATATTCTGCAAAGGGATATTAGTAGGAAGGAAGCAACCAGCATCCTGAAGACCACCTTTCATTCCCTGTTGGAGGACCTGTTTGTTTTACCGAAGTCCTTCCAACTCAAGCCTCATGACACTTCACTAAAGGGACTCCTGCAGGTGGTGCTGCTTTTCACAGGAAACAAAAATATCCAGGAGACATCCTGCTGAGATTGACTGGAGATGGAAAGCCTGAGAATTTAAAAACCCACTGCTATTCGGGGTACTCTCCTAGACAAATCTCTTAGCTATGTTGAATTTACATGGATTTCTTCATCTTGAAGAATAGGATGTTGTACTTTCCTGGGATTGCTATTAAATTATATCTTGACTCATCATTCCATTCTAATTTTCTCAAGGCCACATCTAAGAATAAACAACAGAAGAGGCACTGGATACATCTGCATAATGAGGAATGATATTTACTAACATCAACAGACTGTTCACTTTTTTGTGCCTTTCCACACATTCTCCCATTGTCAGGGACTTCTGTCTTCTGTACTCCAAGTATTTTGGAGATGTGACTGAAGGGTAGGGGGTTGGAGGCGGGAAAATATCAAGAATCAGGGCCAGAGAGACATCATCAGAATCTAGAGTTGTTGCTAGCAGGAACCCCAATGAGCAACGGCGGGAGAATCCTGCTGAGGTTAACTGGAGGCCAACCTGAGCCTTAGAAAGGGTGGCAGGTTCTGAGCCTCTCACTTCTATATGCACAGCCCAACTTAGCCCCCGGAACTCCCAGAAGGCCCAGAGCCCTTTGGGACATCAAGGATTAAATTTCATAAATGTCCTTAATTATGCTGATAGAATGTTTTGGTTATCAACATGACTAGGACCAAGAAGAGAGACCCTTCAGTGTCCTGCAGTGAAGAGAACACCTGGCTCTGATCCCATTTCCTCCACTGAACTTCTGTGTGGCCTTGGGAAAGTCGCTTCTCCTTTCTCTCATTTTGTTTCCACATGACTACAACCAGGGAAATAATTCTTGTCCTAGTTAAACAGCTGAAGTTCATACAAGGTGTCATAATGAAGAGCTAGACCAGGGTTCTATGGAAAAGCAGGGGGAGAAAAGACCATTGTGAGAGGCTTCATGGAGGAGGTGGTGGGTACTGTGTTTCACTTTGGAAGATCTAGATTGGTTAAGAGAAGGGAGATGTGGAATGAGTGTGTGCACCGGAGGGAGAATGTACAACAGGTGAAGGGCTGAGAGAGAAAAGGAAACAGTCTTGTTCCCACTACTGAGCAGATCAGCCTGGTATCCACGGGAATGCAGGTGACTTGACCCTGTGCTTGGCACGTGGTTGGTGAGAGGCAGCACCACATAGGGGTTGGACCACAAATGCAACAGCCAGGCCACCTGGCTTCAAAGCTCAGCCTTCCCATTACTTAGCCTTTCCATGCCTCCGTTTTCCTATCTGTAAGTGGGGATAGCAATAGCACCTACTTTATAGGGGTTGTCGTGAGGATTAAATGAGCTAATCCATGAGAAGTGATTACAACACTGACACTGAGCAAGCACTCGGCAAATGCTGACTTTTATCATTATTACAACAAAACAACAACAACCCGTGGCTGTCGAGTTGATTCGGACTCACAGTGACTCTATAGGACAGAGTGGAACTGCCTATCATTATTAGGTGGCCAAAAAACACGTAATGAAAGTGTGTCCACCAGAGAAGTCTCCTCAGTCATGATGATTTATTCTGTTTCCTGATTTATAGTTGCCTGCTAAGCCTGAAGCCCTCTCCTGAACCCCAAGCTTGAATAGATCCTTTATCACCTATTGCCGGTCCCTTCTCCCTGGGAACTAGCTCTAACACACTAAAATCAAACAAAAAACTCGTTGCCATCTAGTTGATTCTGACTTATAACAACCCCATGTAACTGCCCCATTGAGTTTTCTTGGCTGTAATCTTTACAGACACAGATCGCCTGATCTTTCTTCCGCGGAGCTGCTGGGTGGATTCAAACTGCCAACATTTGTTAGCAGTCGAGCATTTAACTGTTGCACCACCAGGGCTCCTGGAGGAAGGAAATAAAACAGTTTAAAAGGATCTGAAATGTTATATCTTGAAACCAAAGGAATTGTTCTCCTATCAACATAAATGGAAAAAATTATTGTTGTTGTTGTTACCACATGATTTATTAAATGTTTACTATGGGCCAGGCTCTTGCCAAGCCATCTGCTGGAGTATTTCGTTCAATCATCACAACCACCGTCGGCTGGTAGATATCTCCCCATTTCCCATATAAGGAACCTAGAGCTGGAGGGGTGGTGTGTCAGTTTGGTTGCCAGCCATCAGACTGCAGAGCCCACACTCTGAATTTTGGTGAAAGACAGTAAGGTTGGTTTTCTGCATGTTGAGTTTGAGGTCGTTCTGGACAAGGCTGAGCAAATGGACAGCCGGGCAAGGTGAGAGACAATTGGCAAAACCGGCAAGCCAGGGTCCACAGTGCTCCAGATAGGAGGTGGGAAAGGAGGGAAGCCAGGCTCAGAGAGGACAGATCAAAGGAAGAGGATGCACGCCTCCAGGGGACCTTGGAGAGCTTGTGGTCACAGGCCTGTCTTCACAGCTGTGGAACTACAGCTCAGCAGTCATTCCTCCCTGGCTTCTCAGAGCAATCCTTCTTGGTGCTGCTCCAGGAAAAAAAACCCTTGACCAATAATCAGCCACAGGTGGCCGAATGAGGCTCTGGCTTCTCTCTTGCTGCGTAATAGAAGCCAGCCCAGTGTGGGAGTTATGAGCAAGGGTCTGGGACCAGCCTGCCTGATCTCAAATTGCCATTCCACCACCTTCTAGCTGTGTGAACCTGAGCAAGTCACTCAACCTCTCTGTGCCTCGGTTTACCACCTTTAATATGCATATAATAGCAGTACACCAATTCATAGCATTGTTGTGAGTATGAAATGAGTAAATTCATATCAAACGTCTAGGGGAGTGGTTGGCCATGGTAAGTACTCCATAAGTGTGAGTTGTTATTATTGTTATTATCATTACTGCTTCTTACTCCCTAGGAGTCTTCAGCACTGTGTACCAAAGCAGGGAGGCCTGGCCTCTGGCATGATTTGGAGTTCACCCTCAGAAAGCCCTGCATGACTGAGTCTGAGGCCAACAGTGATGAGATCTCTGAGCCAGAAACCCAATAACCTCATCACTGGACTCGTCATCCTCCAGGGTGCCAAGGTTACCCAAGGAGAGGCCAGGCTCTGCCATGATCTAAAGATGGCAGGATGGTTCTTGTAAGCAGTTTGGGCTGAAGAATAGGATTTTGTTGGAGGGGATGGTTGATAATGTCGGGTAATTTCTAGGGAAAGATGACTCATGCTTAAGAACAGCTGCAGGACTTGTGAACATATGGCCTATCCTAATACCAAGACAGGGTCTAGGCAGCTGCACTGAACTGTTGAGCCTAGATTACACTGAGGGACTAAAAAATTTGCCATTTCTAGGGATCAGGAAGGAGCCCTGGTGGCACAACAGTTAAGTGTCTAGCTGCTAACCAAAAGGTTGGCAGTTTGAACCCACCAGCAGCTCTGTAGGAAGAAAGACTTGGCAATCTGCTCCTGTAAAGATTACAGCCTGGAGAACCCTATGGGGCAGCTCTACTCTGTCATACAGGGTCACTATGAGTCAGAATCAACTCAACGGCACACAGCAATAACAACGGGGATCAGGAACAGAAGGGAATTCTTCCGGCATATACTAAACCAAAACAAAACCAAACCCATGCTGTCAAGTCCATTTCGACTCATAGCAACCCTATAGGATGGAGCAGAACTGCCCCATAGGTTTTCCAAGGATCAGCTGGTGGATTCAAACCACTGACTTTTTGGTTAGCAGCCAAGCTCTTAACCACTGTACCACCAGGGATCCAGCATATACTAAGTGCTATATAGTTGTAAGCAATTGGCAAGGCTTAGAGGAACAGACACACAGCAGTTGTTAAGGAGGAAATTCTTCTTTGATTGAAAGCCCTGCTTGAATCATATGGAATGTTGGAAGGGCAAGTCCTATAAAAAAGGATTTGGGGCTCACCAAAAAAGCCATAGGTGCACATGGCCATACAGGGGAGAGAGGCTGTGAGCTGGAGTCAGAAGACCTGAGCTAAGTTCTTATTTCATCCTTGACAAATCTTGTCTTTGACAAATCAGTTACCCTTGCTGTCTCTCAATTTCTCTTATTTCTAAAAATATGAATAAAAATGTTAAGATAATAATACCAGGATCAGTTGAAACAACCAAGAGATCAGGTATATGAACATTCTTTAGAACCTTTATGCAAATTTGATGCAGCATCATTATCATCATGACCATCATTAGAGGCAATAGATCATAGAGGTTAACAATGAGAGCTCTCAAGTAGAAACAACCCAACAGATGACTGGATAAACAACATGCAGTATATCCATAAAATGGAATATCATTCAGCCATAAAAAGGAATGAAGTATCAGTGCGTGCTGCAACATGAGTGGTCCTTGAAAACACTATGCTAAGTGAAAACAAGGCAGTCACAAAAGACCACATATTTTAATACAGTGCAGTGAATTACTGAATATGGCCCTTCTAGCCATAGTCTTCGTAACTCCCACCAAATGACTGGGTGAGACTATGCAAATTAGGTACTTGTAGCCCATCAAGGGGATTGGATAGCTTGCTAATAATGTGAATAAGGTGCATGACACCCTTGTGGGGGTGGAACCATGCAAATAAGGTATGTGGAACCCTAACCGGGGGATTGGTCAGTTTTGCCATCCCACTGCGCTTAAAATGAGCCATCCCAGAGGCAGGAAGGGAGGAGCTCACCAACACCAAGAAAGAAGAACCAAGAGAGAAGCACATCCTTTGGACCCAGGATCCCTGAGCCAAGAACCTCCTAGATCCAGGAGACAGAGACAGAGCTGCAACACGTGAGATGGCAAGAGATGGTGAGAAGCGGTGGCAGCAGAAACAGGAGAGTGGCAGGAGACAGCCCAGTGGGCTTCTTGGCCCAGGGAGTGAGAAAGCTGAGTGCCTTTGGGCAGGAGGCTTGCTGGCAGTGTGGGGTGCCTCCAGGCACTTGTTGGAGCTAGGCTCACCAACCTACGGAGCGAGAGAGCTGAGGCAGGAGGCTTCCTGGCAGAGTTGTGTGCTTCCAGCAAGAGAGCTGAGCACCTTACGGACACTAATCAGCAGTTAAAAGAGCTTTGTAACATTTGCTGGAGCAGGGCTGAGAAGAGCCTGTCCTGATGGAAAGACTGTATCCTGAGCATTCCTGAACCTGAATTGTAAGCTGTTATTCCCTAATAAACTCCATAATCCTAAATATTGTCTGTGAGTTCTGTGTGGCCATTGCAACAAATTGTCAAACCCAGAAGAGAAGTAGAGAGTGCTGTGGGAGGGAGGATTGGTGTCAGAATTGGTAAAAAGGTTGAAGGATGGAGGTGTGTCTGACCTCCGCTTCATAGGAATCAGCCTTGGGCTGTTGATCTTGATTCTCCTTCCCCCTTGTGAAGGAGACGCCCCTGCCCCCCACACCATTTTTATATTGTATGACTCCATTTATATGAAATGTCCAGAAGAGGCAAATCCATAGAGATGGAATGCAAATTAGTGGTTGCCAGGGCTGGGAGGAGAGGAAAATGGGAAATGACTGCTAGTGGGTATGGGGTTTCATTTTAGGATGGTGAAAATGCTCTAAAATGAGATAGTTGCACAACTCTGTGAATATACTAAAAACCACTGAATTATACACTTTAAAAGGATGAATTTTATGATATGTGAATTATATTCCAATGAACTTGTAAAAAAAAAAAAAGAATGAGCTTGACTGCCTGGGTTCCAACCTCAAGTTAGCCACCTATTAGCTGTGCAACCCAGGGCAAGTGACTTCACTTCTCTGGGCCTCATTTTCCCCATCTGTGAAAAGGAGGTAATAATACAACACAGTCATTGGTCTGTTTTGAAGATTAAAAGAGTAAATGCATGTAAAGCACTCTCAACAGTGTCCAGCATATATTAAGTGCTACATAAGTGTAAGCAATTGGCAAAGCTTATAGGAACCCACACGCAGCAGCTGTTAAACATAAGCTAGATGTTAACAGAGCAGATAGACAGGGCAGCTGAGTCACAGGTCCAGCATCTAGGGCCTGGGAATGTAAACCAGATGCTGAGGTGAAGACTGGCTGAATTTGCACTCTTTACATACCAGAAGGCCCAGCCCTAGGGGTGGAGGGGTGGGGGGTTAGGAAATGAGAAGTCCAAATGCCTGAGCTCTGACCCTCAACTCCTGGTTTTTGCAGGTCTGCTATGGGACCCAGATGTTTGCACTTTTGGAAAGATTTCCCGGAGGTTGTGAAGATCGGCCAGATTTGAGAACTCCTAGCACGTACGAAGAGGCAGTCATTCAAACAGAACAAGGGACTACTGCATGGTTTAAAATCAAGAAAGGTGTGTGTCAGGGTTGTGTCCTTTCATCATACTTATTCAATCTGTATGCAAGGCGCCCTGGTGGCACAGTGGTTAAGACTTCAGCTGCTAAACAAAAGGTTGGCGGTTCGAATCTACCAGCAGTTCTTTGGAAACGCTATGGGGGCAGTTCTACTCTGTCCTAGAGGGTCGCTATGAGTCAGAATCAACTCAACAGCAAAAGGTTTGGTTTTGGTCTTTGGATGCTAAGCAAACAATCTGAGAAGCTGGACTATATGAAGAAGACTGGAGCATCAGGATTGGAGGAAGACTCGCTAACAACCTGCAATATGTAGATAACACAACCTTGCTTGCTGAAAATGAAGACTTGAAGCACTTACTGATGAAGATCAAAGACCACAGCCTTCAGTATGGATTACACCTCAACATAAAGCAAACAAAAGTCCTTACAACTGGACCAATAAGCAACATCATTATAAATGGAGAAATATTGAAGTTGTAAAGGATTTCATTTTACTTGGATCCACAATCAACGCCCATAGAAACAGCAGTCAAGAAATCAAACGATGTATTGCATTGGGCAAACCTGCTGCAAAAGACCTCTTCAAAGTGTTAAAAAGCAAAGATGTCATTTTGAGTACTAAGGTGTGCCTGACCCAAGCCATGGTATTTTCAATTGCCTCATATGCATGTGAAAGCTGCACAATGAATAAGGAAGACCAAAGAAGAATTATGCTTTTGAATTATGGTGTCGGTGAAAAATTTTGAATATACCATGAACTGCCAGAAGAACGAACAAATTTGTCTTGGAAGAAGTACAGCATTAGAAGCTAGGATGGCGAGACTTCATCTCACGTATTTTGGACATGTTATCCAGAGGGACCAGTCCCTGGAGAAGGACATCATGCTTGGTAAGGTAGAGGGTCAGCAAAAAAGAGGAAGACCCTCGATGAGATGGATTAACACAGTGGCTGCAATAATGGGCTCAAATATAGCAAAGATTGTGAGGAGGGCACAGGACCGGGCAGTGTTTCAATCTGTTGTACATAGGGTCACTATGAGTTAGAACTGACTTAATGGCACCTAACAACAACAACAGTACTTACGTCAGGGAAGCAACAGAACCTAGGCCAAGCAGGCCTGGTCCCACTGGGTCCCTCAAGATCCCCAGGGAATGGTGGGCAGGACCAGTGGCAGGGCTGATGATAATTGCAGGAGGTTCCTATATCAGCAGAGGAAAGGGGTGGAGTGGGGGGTGCTAAAGTATTGGTAGGTTCTGACACCTGGCCCCTAAAGAGATCCTTAGAAAATCTCAGGTTATCAGTGGAAAAGAGCTAGCCATGCAATAAGCAGATTTGTCATGCCTAAGGGGCATGTCAACTTTGAAAAAGACTCAAATGACAAACTAAAAATAGAGCAGCAGTGGCATGGCTCTTGAATGTGAGTGATCAGGCCTAAATCAACTAATAGGAAACAGTCACATGGTAAGGCTGGACATTCAGATTTCTATTTTTTATTAAGGGTGTGTGTCGTCCATATTAAATAAGTTTTCTCTTTGATCTTCTAAAAAAAATCACAGAATTGTAGAAAAGTAGAATCATAGTTCATCAGAGCCTGGCTTTCAAAGACATCAGTACCCAAACTATCCCACCAAATAATGTAGTTACCATATGCACACCTAACACCTGATGTCTTGGGTCTTCTATTTGTCAAAAAATGAGCATAATGTTCAGTTGCACTGGGTTAAGTGGAGAAAAAGGGTCTAAAGGCTACAGGGACACCTAGCAGAGAGGGCTCTAGGATGTCCCAAGCAGGACTTCTGGATCTTAAAATAGGAGAGAGAAACCTGAGGAAAGAGGAGGAAATAATCCCATCTACCCGTGTGCAGGAGCACCTGTGTGCTGACAGCTCTCACGCAGAGTAAGACGCTGCTGCTCACCTCAAAGTCGGTGTCTGACAGCCCATTCACCTTGAAGGCCTCAGTGAGAGGACTCGAGTTGATTATCAGGGGAAAGCCTGGAATCACAGGTGACAGTGATGCTGATAAATTCACGGCAAACCTGTGTACTGCAGTCTCTGGTGGAGAATTCTCTGCCACGTTGCTTGTAGCTGGTAAGTGGATTAAGTGCAGCGCCTCTCTCTCTGGATTTCAAAAGCATGCAAAATGACATGAACACAAAGCCTTTTACTGGGGACTGGGACTAAACAGTCTGTGGCTGCAGTACGTGGCTCGGAGCAATGACGTGACCTAGTCACTTCCCAAAGACAAACACTCTTGCCAAGTGGTGGAAATGAGAATGCAAGATCTTCTGGGAGCCAAGAGAACAGCCACCACCAAGCAACCATGTAATCCGCTTCTGTAATTCGGTAAGTAAAGCTGCTGCTTTTCTCTTGCCCCCCTGCTTCCCTCCTCTTTTCTCCCAGCCTTTGGGGAGAGGCAGGGAAAGAGAAACAAGATGCCCTAGGAGACAGACACCCACTTGAAGACCCCAGTCTGGTAATGACATCTTCTCTTACAAGAGCCTGGTAGCTTACAAGAGTTTATTTTCCTTCTCTGTATGAGTACTTTACTCACAAGTTCATCTGACAATTGAGTGTGCATGACTGGAAAGCCCCAAAATCTTGGTAGATCTCCTCACTCCATTAGTAATCTCAACGACAATGATTTGCTAATAGTGGATGCTATGGGCATCATGAGGAGCTCTGGTGGCATAGTGGTTAGGCACTCAGCTGCTAACCAAAAGGTCAGCAGTTCAAATCCACCAGGTGCTCCTTGGAAACACTATGGGGCAGTTCTACTCTGTCCTATAGGGTCGCTATGTGTCAGAATCGACTCGACAGCAACAGGTTTGGTTTTTTTGGTTTTGTGGTTATCATGTAGAGGGTCAACCTGTACTTCTTGGTTGACAGGTGAACTCTCATTTCACAGAGGAGGAAATGAGAGGCTCAGGGAGGGCATGTGAGTTGCCTTGGGCTACAATACAGACAGGGAATTTTTTCTTTTTTTTTCTGTCGTTTACTGAGAGTGGTGTGTTGAAGTCTCCTACTATTATTGTGGAACTGTCAATTTCTCTTTTCAGTGTTGTTAGAGTTTGTTTTATGTATTTTGGAGCCCTGTGATCGGTGCATAGATGTTTATTATGGTTATGTCTTCATGATGGATCATCCCCTTAATCATTATATAGTGTCCTTCTTTGTCTTTTATGGTGGATTTTGTTTTAAAGTCTATTTTATCTGAGATTAGTATTGCCACTCCTGCTCTTTTTTGGTAGTTGTTAGCTTGATTTTTTTTTTTTTTTGACTTTTAATAAATTCACATCTTTGTTTCTAAGGCGTGTCTCTTGTAGATAGCATATTGATGGATCCTGTTTTCTTATCCATTCTGTACAGACAGGGAATTTTATAATTTAAGAGAAAACATGTTTCCTCTAGGAAAGCCTTGGGACCATTCTAAGTTCTCCATGACACTCTGGGTGACTTTTCCAGTACAGAGGAGAGCAACAGTCCATGGTCTTTCATACCTCCATAATAATAGTTACCATTTATTCAAAACATCCAGTGTTCCAAGTGGTACACAACGTTAAATCCTTTATCTCATGTGCTCCTCAAAACAACCCCTGAGACAGGTATTAATGTTATCACTTTACAGATGAGAAGACTAAACTTAGAGACACACAATTAACAAATCACAAAGCCAAGATTTAAACTAGGTCATATATAAAGGCTGCATTATCTCCATGTCTTCACACATGCTGTTCATTCTACTTAGAACACCCTTCCTTCCTGTGTTCCACTTGCCCAAACACCTATTGAAGGAATCTTCTAAATTTCCTAACTATTATCCCAAACAAAGTTGATCACTGCCTCCTTTGTCACTCTGGAACATTTCGCATATTTCCAGTTTAGATCTCTTTACGTTGTACTATGGTATGTGTTTACTTGCCTCTCTCCCCCTGATTGGGAGCATGTTCATTTTTGAGGGGCATAGGTAAGTGTCAGCGCACTTTGAGATACTCACATTCCAAGCCACAGGACTTGCAGACTTCTGCTACCACCTACTACAGCTTCCCAATCCTGGCCACTGCCAGCCAGTGGGGAAAAAACCCTTGGATGGGAGGAGGCACAGGGGTGTGGGGGGACAGTAGAATGGTCTGTCCTACTAAAAGATGTAAAATTTCTAGAAACAAACAATGGAAAATGTTGGGTTTTGTAAAAGGATGTTTTTATTTCAATTTGAGAATCGGGGAGGGCCAGCAGAGTAAATAGAAATGTAGAAAAAATTGAAATAAGCACATTATTGATACAAAATTCCAGAAATCTAAAGTCATTTGAATTAGAGACTAAAATACATTATGCATAAGTTATTTTTGCTCACAGAATTATCAAGTTTTATGGACAAGGACTGTGCAAGGACTCAGCAATATCAAAACAGCTGATGTTTAGGGTGATGGAAATATGAATAGATTTTTTTAATCTATTAAAATTGACTTTAATATTATAGCATTCTTTTTTTATTTATTTTTTTATTGTACTTCAGGTGAAGGCTTACAGAACAAATAGTTTCTCATGAAACGGAAGTACACATGTTGTTTTATAACATTG